AAAAAAAAAAAAGAAAAAAAAATTCCCTAGTCAAATGGGAGAGATTTTGCAAGTGGCGCCTTAATTTGCTCAAAAGGCTGCACATTGGAAGATCCCGAATCTAACACAGCGACGGTCTGTTGTTCAGGGCTGGGTTAGAAGTGGCCTGTGGGTTTCCCTCCTCTTCCCTGAACCTCATCCTTCAGACACTTGCCACCTCATTATGAGACGAAGGGGCAGGGATGGAATAAAGGCAGGAACTTCAGACCAAACAGTTGCCAAGAACCTGGTAAAAGATCCCATATGGCAGAGCAGATCTGGGTCCAGGTCGGGAAAGGAATGACAGCTTTGGGAGTTAAATGTGAACTTAACAAAACCCTCTCTTTTTACCAAACATCATGGGCTGTCAACTCTTCAGGTGACATGTTTTCCATCATCACCTGGCACCAGCAAGACTTTTCCAGAATACACTGACAGGCTGCAGAGGGGGGAGTCAAGCAAGGAGCTCCCTCCTGTGGGCTGTGGCTGCTTCCCTCCCCACCATGTAAACATCCCCCAGCACAAACATCCCAGTGGGGCTGAGTGAGAGCGTGGGAAACAGGTCACTTTCTCAAGCTGCCAGGGGTTGGCAGTGACCAGCTGCTGTGGGAGTGATCACCCAGAGCCCACACGAGGGGGGAGTCAAGCAAGGAGCTCCCTCCTGTGGGCTGTGGCTGCTTCCCTCCCCACCATGCAAACATCCCCCAGCACAAACATCCCAGTGGGGCTGAGTGAGAGCGTGGGAAACAGGTCACTTTCTCAAGCTGCCAGGAGTTGGCAGTGACCAGCTGCTGTGGGAGTGATCACCCAGAGCCCACAGACACAACTTAGCTTTAAAAAGCTGTTTTCCAGTGAAATTTAAATCAGTCCAACAATATTTGAAAATACTCCTGGTGTCTTTTATTCTTTGGAATCTGGGCCCAGGAATGTTTTTGTTTTCACAAGGAGTGTCTTAGGACCCAAGATTTCAGACCAGGATCATGAAGCTTTACAAATGCTTTGAACAAAAATCGTTTCACCCTCATTAGTATATGATTGGAAAATTATTTTTTTCAGCCAGTTTTCCTGCACATTCAACTCAGCCGTCTGTGATCATGAAAAAAAATGACCTCAGAGTTGAAGGTAAGTTTCATGCCAGCCAGAAGTTTCATGGGATTCTCAGCTTTAAACTCCTCCCACCCATAAACTTTTTTTCCCCAGATATACAATGAATGGCAAATGTGATTGACGATGTCCCCTTGCATTTGGGTGCAAACCTCATTTTGCAAAGTTTGTCAAGCACAGGATGGCTCTACCAGCCTTGTGTCTTTTCTCCAACTTTTGAAAGTGTCATTGGGCAAGTCAACACTCAAAGGGCAGGGAACACAAAGGGAAAGGCCAAGAGGCACTTGGGAGGCAGGAGGCACAGACCCAGGCACAACGCCCAAGGGGACTGGCCTGGGGCACCCCACGGGGCTCATGCAACCTGCTAACAAGCTGCCCTGGGCAGTGCCGTATCTGCCATTACCCAGGTTACTGAAGCCAGGAAACATGGGAGTCGGTCTAGGTTCTTTCCTTTTTCACCTCCCACATCCTGTGTGTCCTCCCTCCAAAGCATATGGCACTTTCTCCGTCCCTGCTACCACCAGCACATGGCTCTCTCCTCCTGTCCTTCAGGCCTCGGCTGGAATAGCCTTCGTCACCGTCCAGTGTAGACTCCTCCCACTCGTCCCTCCCCCGCCCCTCCCCCCTCCCCCCTATCTGTTTCCTTCCTACCTGTTTGTAGGTTCTGAGTGCTCCCCACTATGAGTGCTCCCCAACCATATGCATGTTGGTTACTGCCAAGGTCACAAGTTCGGATCCCCATACTGGCCAGCCACCGAAAAAAAAAATTATATGGTTTTATGGGATCGGACTTCAGTTTTGCTATGAATGTTGGTGAGTAGAAGGCTGGAGTAGAAATACACGTGCTGGAAAATTTGTTTAGATTGCTTCCAACTCTCCAAACTCACTATGATGTTTCACCCACTCAGCACCAGCTCGTGCTTTTGCGTCTGTGCTCCCCTCCACCTCGAAAACCCTTTCTCAGTGGCAAAGTCTCATTTTTCCTTGCAAAGCCTTCCTGACCTCCAAGCAGGGTTTACCACTTGTTGCTTTATGCCAGCGTCTCTCCCTGTCTTTGCAACTGTCACCTTACAGACCTGACTCAGATGCCCTGACTCCCACTGGCACCAGCTATAGGACACGCTGCAAAACACTCTTGGCTTAAATGCATTTCTGAGAAAGCCCATCTGAATTATTGAGAGAGCTACTACTATTAACAGTAACAATAATAATGTTATGTTATTGCCTTGGGGTGAGACAAACTAACCAAATATTGCCTAGGTGAGATTCTTGGTTAATTTGCATGAAGGAGTAAAAACTTCTTTATTGAAAAACAGCTACTTCCAGCATGTTGTCCAATGTAAATATTGCCCTGAAACCTTGCTTACAGTAGCGGTTCACGCTGGAAAAAGTTCTTTTAGCAAAGTTAAACTTCAGCTCCGTATGTTGCTAGCACTACTGAATACCCCTTTACAGAACTTCTACCCGCCCACCCCAAGGAGCACAGCAAACAATATGGGTTTTCATCCAGCTGCCTGGGGCAGAACATGTCAATTGTATCACAAAAAAACCCATAGTGGAAATGCCAAGAACCACATGGTTAACAGCTGGAACCACTTATGTACAATGGTTTCAACCCAGCTGACAAGAAGGGACGCAGCAACTAACCAGTGGAAGAGTGTTTCCCATTTTATAAAGCACCTCCTGTCTCACTTTCATCTTTAATGTGAGCTTACAGACAACGTCAATCACTGGCTCTCAATGCAGATACATAATAAATTCAAATTTATGTTTCATTTTTTATATTCAAATACAAACTGATGAAGTGAAGCAGTCATCTTTTCTGGCTTAAAAGAGCATAGAAGTTGTCCCCAGGGCAGAAAGCCTTCTCCAAAACGTGCGGTTAGAGAATACTTGAGGTAGGCACAAATAAAAACCAAATGGAATCTTTTTAGAAAGGCAATTAGCTTTACTGAAAAGACAATGAAACTTATAAAGGGTGGCAGGCAGTGAGATCTTAAGGTACAATAATTTAGAGTACAGAATGGAAACGCAACATTTACCGCACGTCTGCTAAGTTGGAGGTCCTTTGCTAAGAATGCTTGAATTTATAGGATTTAATTCAACAGGCATTTAATACAACCATCCCTCTTTTCACAGATATGAAACAGACAAGGAAATGAGAGGAGACTTCATTTGGCTTAATGTCACACAGACAGCAAGTGACAGAACTGAGCTTTGAATGCACATCTGCTAGGCTCCATAACCCGTGCTCTCTCTCTTACGTTTGGCTGCCTAGTTTAGAGAAATCGAGGGCAAAAGTCACGGGAGTTGCAAAATTTTATGGGATGGCTTCATGGTTAGCGACTGGGCAGCTAGAAGAAGCTGGAAAACTAAAAGGGCCTAAGAAAACAAAAACTTGAAAAGGAAGTCCAGGAAATCGCCAAGCCCATGACACAATAATCACAGAGATGGCTTCATTTCAGCTGGAGCCCAGAGCTTTCCATTTGCATGGTACTTTACAGTTTACAAAGCATTTTTACTCAAGTTATATCATTAAACCTAGTGAAGTAGGCGTTAATAGCATTTTCACTCTTTTGCTTGAGAAAAATGAGTTTTGCTTCATATAAATGGCCTAAGATCACACGCTAGATGTGCCAGAACAAAACTTCCAGTCCAGATTGCAAATGTTTTCCATTAACCCCACACAGCCAGAGAAACGGCTCTGGCTTGAATTAAAGATAGAAACAAAAAGACTAGCAAATAAAGACAAGGGAAAATTTAAGGGAAATTGTTAGAGATGAGTCAGAGTTTTTGACTCAATTCAGTTAATGTCTAACAAGAGACTTTGAATCAGTTACCCATTTCTAGATATTACTAAGATTACCCTCCAACATTTAAAAGTGGGTGGGATCATTAGATTTTAACTACTTGTGTGTCTATCAAAGAAGAGATAGCCGTGTCCTTGAGCGCTCCACACCGAGAGAAAATTCTGGAAGGTAGGAAAAGGGCTTGTCCAAATTTCAATCTCTTGGGAAAAGCATCTTCTCCTTAAAAACCTAGATGTAGATGTCAGAAGTTTACCTGTGACAGCTGAAGCCTAGTATTACATTAATTCCTTAATTTGAACATCAGAAAGTATAGGGAAAGAATTAAGCATTTATCTATCTGCCTTTCCAGAAGCTCAAAAGCCACAGGCGATGAGGAAAAGCTCTTCTTTACAGAATATGCCAGCCAATAAATATAGAATAAACGGCAGAAACAAACAAGCAAACAACAAAACAAAATAAAACAGCATTTGCAACCTTTAATTTAGTAATTGATTCAAGCAAAGATTATCAAGGGATGCTAAAACCATTAGGAGAAAGTTGGAGGGCAAGGGGATAGTTAATAAGACTGAAGTGTCACCTGCTCACAAGGGGAAAAATGTAACTTGACAGACATCATCTGTCATCTCCTTGACACCAGCTGCTCATCTCAGCATGGCTAGCACAGCCATGACCAGACATCGCTTGCCTCATGATGTTATACGGTGCAAAATGTACAGATTCGTTTATGAAGTATTCTTGTTTGAAAATGTATAGAAAAACAAATAACCTGATTTTAAAATGAGCAAAGGATTTGCATAGACATCTCTCCAAAGAAGATCTACAAATGGCCAGTGAGCACACGAAAGGATGCACAATGGCACATGAAAGCTGGTTGTATAGATTGGGCCATTGTTGTCACATACATCTCTCCAAAGAAGATCTACAAATGGCCAGTGAGCACACGAAAGGATGCACAATGGCACGTGAAAGCTGGTTGTATAGATTGGGCCATTGTTGTCACATGCAAATTAAATAAAAGTCAAGGGGTGAGGGGGAAAAGCACTTGGGACACATAACACCAGCTCCAGGAACCTTCTGCAAGCCCAGCTGCTGAAATGGCCTGCTGTAACCCTAAGAGTTTACCGAGTAGCCACTGAATCGACTTGCCATGACTCTAAGACAATTTTTACCTATCACCTTCACTTACCAATCAGAGCCTGCCAACTCCCAAAAATGTCGCTAGTGCCAACAAACTGTCCTTCAAAACAATACATAACCTTTCTCTTTCTAATAATATTCCTGCTTTGGATTGAATGTCCCCCCAAAACTTAATTCCCACTGTAACTGTTGAGGGTGGGAAATCCTATTAGGGTAATTGAAAAGTTGGTCCTTGAAGAGGTGATTGGATTGTAGGACCATGCCCTATTGAATGGATTAAAAGTGGTGGTCAGGGGCATGGTTTGGAGGGCTTTAAAAGGAGAGTGCATGTGGAGGTTAGTCTCTCTCTGCTTCCACCATTTCTGCAATGTGATACTCTGCTGTCTCTGTCACCACCAAGAGCTTCACTAGCTGTGTTCTCCGGATTTTGGACTTCCCAGCTTCTGAAACTGTAAGCAATAAATTTTGCTTTCTTTATAACTTACTCAGTTGCAAGTATTTTGTTACAAGCAACAGAAACAGAGTAGTCAACTCCCAAACCTTTCTTTGTTCTTTGGACATACTGGAGACCATCCATCTGCGTGTGTGCCCCTGACTGCAAGCCTGTTTTTGCAAATAGAATGTTTTGTTTATATTTTATCCAGTCAAATTCAGCAGTGCCGACACTATTTTTGACTTTGGCAATCATTAGACATCAGGGAAATGCAAATCAAAATCACGAGATACCACTTTATACTCACTGGGATAGCTAAAAATCAGAAAGTCAGAAATAACAAGTGTTGGTGAGGCTGCGGAGAAATTGGACCCCTCATTGTCAGTGGGAATGTAAAATGGTGCATCACTTTGAAAAACAGCATGACAGCTCCTCAATGTGTTAAACACAGAGTTACCATGTGACCCAGCAACTCCCTTCCTAGGTGTATACTCGAGAACTGAAAGCAGGTGTCCACATGAAAACTTGCACACAAATGTTCAAGCAGCATTGCTCATAATAGCCGAAAAGTAGAAACAACCTGGATGTCCATCAACTTACGATCGGACAGACAAACTGTGGTATATCCATACAATGGACTATTACTCAGCCCTAGGGAATGAAGTTCTGACCCATGCTGTAATGTGGATGAACACTGGAAACATTATGCTGAGCGAAATGTACTGTGTGATTACATTTGTATGAAATGTCCAGAGTAGGCAAATCCATGGAGATGGAAAATAAACTAGTGGTTGCCAAGGGCTGGGAGAGGGGAGGGATTGGGAGGGACTGCTAATGCACGTAGCATTTGTTTTGGCATGATAGAAATATTCTGGAATTGGATAGTGATGATCGTTGCACAACTCTCTGAATATACTAAAAACCACTGATTCGTACACTTTCAAAGGGTGAATCTTATGATATGTGAATTATATCTCAAGAAGGCTGTTTTTTGAAAAATCAGGGAGCTGAGACAGGCATATACAACAAGGGGAGAATCTCTCTGCAAGGAGATTTTAAAAGAAATCACGAACAGCAATTGTCTCTGGAGAAGGAGCTACAGGGCTAGAGGCCAGGGTGGGAAGCAAACATTATTTTGCACTGTTTTTACAAGTTTTTTAGTCTTTTTTTTTTTTTTTTGTCTTTTTCCGTGTCCGGCAATGGATCGCAACCCTCAGTGTCGCCCCCGTACCGGACCAGGACCGGCAACGGGATCGCAGCCCTCGGTGTTGCTCCCGCGCCTCGCTCAGCCAGTGAGTGGGAACCGGTCTGTATGTGGGATCCGAACCCCCGGTGGGAGCGCCGCCGCACTTCCCAAGCAGCGCACTATAGCAGTGCGCCACCGGGCCGGCCCTTTTACAAGTTTTTTTTAAAAATTCTTTTACTATATTACTATTCCCAAAATTAATTTAGAAATAAAATTCTACATGTGTTCTAAAGAAAAAGACATTTAACCAGAATATTTTCAAGATATGCTTTGATTACCAGTTTATTGGAGAAATTTGATATGGACTGGGCATAATTTGATAATAGGGTATTATTATTATTAATTTGGTTACGTGTGATTAAAGTATAGCGGTTATATAGGAAAATGTTAGGTGTTTAGGAATAAAATATCCAGTGATGAAATAACATGAAGATTTTAATTTACTTTGGATACTTCAGCAAAGGGAAATTGATGAATAAATATGGAAAATGTTAAAAACTGTTGCATCTAAGCAATGTGTCTGTGCGTGTCCATGAGACTGTTTTCTCCCCTTTATTGTGTGTTTGAAAATATTTATAATAAAGAAAGAAAAGGAAAAAATTTACCCAAGGGCCGCATGAGTGGTGAGCTCACTGAGGCAGGGACTGCGTCTGATGTCACTTGTCTGTGCTCCAGCACACAGAGCCTGGGAGTCTGCACAGAACAGGGGCTGATAAGATATAATTGAAGGAGGGAGCAAGGGAAGGAAGGAAGGAAGGACAGACCGACCCAGTGTGGCACAGTATTTTGCGATAACAAATTGTTTTTCCTCTGCTCTCACACCACAATCAACACAGAAGACTTCTGTGACCACATGTGGATTTTTTCCTGCACACACCAAGCAGGCAATCGGTTCTGCAGCGGACGCCAGCTGAGTATCCACAAACTCAATTCAATTCCAGCACTATCCACCTGGGATAGCATCAGATCCCACAGGTTGAGGGCTCAGTCCCCAAGACTGCCCGTCCTTTCTGATGCCAGTTGCAAGCCCCAGGTTACATCCCCTGTGACAAGCTATAAATTGGGGTTCCCACTACCCCCCTCCTTGGGTTCAATTAATTTG